ATATATATATATATATATATATATATATATTCAATATTTATTTGTTATTAGAACCGATTGCATTAATAGATTAAAAAGAAAGAATCAATGAAATTAGACCATGTCCAGATAGTTTTATTGCATAGGTGCACTCCAACACAAAGCCATTCATCAATCAAAACAGCGAAATTGAATCGACACGTTAATTTCACCTCCTCTGCTACATTCATCTCTTTGACACGAACACCGAGTACATTCTGAATAAGTGCAACGACCTTCGATAAGTGTGGTTAATTCGTACAATAGTAATCTTCGAAATTTTTCGCTTTCCAAATTACCAAAATTCGACTGCATGATTACATTATGGAAAATGTAATTCTGCGGTTTAGGTTGCTAAACTAATGAGCACTTGTTCTTATTTGGGACATTAGGCCGCTGAATATCTGATAGTGAGCTAATTTCACGTATCCAACAAAAACATTCTCATATTTAGCTCACTACTTTACGTTGTCTGACTTTCGACCAGTTGAAAGATTTGAACGCACAAACGGTTATTTCAGTTCATTGTGAACAGCAATAATGCTGAGCAATTCGAATTCCATATAACTAAACCGCATAAATACCGAAAAAAAGATAGATTACCGCAACGAAGTCGTTATTCAATGGATGCGGCTGAACTGACGCTAACTCCTTAAATGCAGCGTCAAGAAGAGCACGTTTCGCTCTCACTTGCTCTTCTCTAACAGCCACATCTGTTTTGATTTTTTCCATTAATTCTTTCATTCCGCTCATCGCTTCAAATTTTTTTGCGTTAAAAAACGAAAAAGTTTTCTTTAATTTGACATCAGATTCACAAAAATATTTCATATTTATCATGGTGATTCCTATCATCCGCATAATCATTATTATTTTCTACTGGACACATTATTATCATTTGAGCTAAGGATCGAAGAAACCACAATAATATTGCTACTCTCATAAGGTCGTCTATCTAGATACGATGAGAATAGGTGAAAATATATTTGGATTTTAGAATCATACAATTTGTATCAAATTATATGACTGACAAAAAAGATTTACTCGACGTAAATATCATAACGCACTTCCCGTGCAACCAACTGCTATACACGGTATTGGAAAAAAGCACTTGAGGAATAACAAAATGAATCGAACGAACGACAATCGAATTGAACGTTATTAAAGGTTGTCAATTGGATGCGATTAATCTGTACAAATGAATCCATCCATATTCAATGTTTCAACACTGCATAGCAATCGTCATTTATTAATGATTACAAATTATCGTTGCTTTGATAAACACAAAAACAATTTGCTTCTGCACAAATTCTTCAACTATAAGATATTCTACATAACACAAACAAAAGGACTGACAATAATCAGTATCAACCAATTTATTCTGCTGTTCTTGTGAAAGCTTCATGTTTTGGTAATACCGATGAAAAAAAACCCGATAAGATTCTTGAGTAATAGAGAAATTCAAGATAATGCCTATATGCGTTCAGTACAAATAAAACAGTCCACCGATCGTACAAAATACAAAGATCATCAAGACGGAACCGAAGTTAATGCAGTATCATTCAGATGAGAGACCTTTACTCGGATGCAGACAACTGATTTTCGTGACGAACTGCGTCAGAAATTAAAAATGACGTTAAAATTCTAGCCGAAAGCTGAACTTGATCCAGTTCAACACTGATTTGACTCACAAGTATACAGCAACAACCTGTTCATTGTTAATTTAATATCGACTGTCCACCCGGCTATCTCATGAATACGGCCTTCAGCTAGTACAAACCTTCACTCGACTGAGCATCACAAGTATTTCATTCAACTAGCTTAAATCCACTACAACTTCAACAAGTGTCCATGCAATGAGAGCAAGTATTAAAAAGTCAGCAAATCACACGGAAAGATGTAAGAAAATAAAAATTCAGAAAGAACCTGGCACTTCAGATAACCGAATTATTATTTTATTAATTCGCTATAATCTAGAACAAAACAATAAGAAATTAAACACGATCGAAATGTGATTAACACATAATGAATAAACAACAATCCTAGTTAAACAGACGATGTTTTGTGTTTGTATTGCATCAAAAGCCATCACATCAATACAACATGATGGAACAAAGACATTAATAAGCATAATGGCCATGCTGTTCGTATTGTTTACTGATTCGTTGTGCATGCCATTTGCCATAATCGATCCACGTTGAAGAGATCGGCTGATAAGTCCAAGCCTTATAATCCCAACGTTCTCCTTCCAAATGTTTCACTCGTTGCTCTATTTGCCTGTTCAATATTCATCATTCAACAATAACTTACTGTTAGCTTTACGACAAAACAAATTATGCTCATTCGTTTAAAAAAATTCCAATAAAACGATTGAACAGTACGAAAATTAGAGAAAAACATTTCCGTAATATGAATAAATAATTATGAATCAGCAAAAACAGGATTCAGCTTCTGCAGGATTCAAGCAATTTTTGAAAGTTTCGCTTCTGCAGTGCTTTAAAGTTGAAAATGAAAATAGCATGGCTATGTTAATGTAATAAGAACGCTGCTAAATCCGTAATGTTTGAATTCGATAAACGAATTTGGGTTGTAACTCACGACATATATGAATAAATATACCTACCTCCATCTGGCCACAATTGACTGCTTTTCAAAGTACGCTAATTGTCTTTCATGATGCTCAATATCCGAAACGCCGAAATGTTTCGCCCACCATTGACGAACTGGTGTTCTCTCAAATTGCCAATAATGTGGTGGAGGACCCTCTTCCGGATAGTCTTTCAACTCGCATGCACCTCAAAACGACAATTTTACGACAAATAATAAAAATGAACTGATTACTTACATTTATGCACATCGATACCTTTGGAGTGCATCAATTCCAGATAAACGCAATCAATCTTCACGAATAAAATAAATAAATCATATATGAGTGCTGGAGCTGCATGGATGAAGAGAGACAAAAATGTGAACCGTTACCATGAACTATATGATTGTAGATGAGACATACGAGTACGGGAAGAAATCCAACGCCAACGAAGTAGAAATGCGTCACATCTTTGACTCGATTTACAATCAACTGACCAGGACGTTTACGAAACAAAGATGCATGTGAGAAGCGTGTTTGGAAGGCTGAAACTATTATATCTTGATAGTGTATCCACTCAAACGGTGCTACTATATTTTGAATATTCCGGCTGATTTTTCACGCAAAAAACATCATGCAAACAATCGCTTCATTCCACTCGAAAAAAAATTTTTTTTGATTCTAGCCTCCTTAACACAGTTGCTTTAACATCAATCAATCATACATATATTTGGATGAAGCGGAAAAGAATCATAGTCGTGAATCACAAATTACATTTGACTTTTTCGAAAGAACACATTTATAGATAAGCTAAAGAGGAACTTACCATTAAACAACATTAAAATGGATGGTTTTAAATGAAAAAGAAGCATATTATTGTCTAATTACATTAATCATATAGTGCTAAAAAACAAGCGCACCATTCGACTGTTAATGAAATGAATATTTGAATCTACCTGCAAGCTCGGCTGGGCGCAGCATCCCGAGCGTGCGGCCAAAATTCGAAGAGAGTTTGCTAAGAACAACCATTAATGAGGTGTCTCGTCCCTTACCTTCAAAATTGAATTCGCATAAAATTCGTTTCTTTCATGAACACGGAAAACTTGAAGTTTGCACGACAACACGAGGTTAATTTCATCGATTTTTACGTCTGTCATTTTTTTTAAAAATATTTTAAGCCGATTAGAAGTACAGTTTAGACAGGTTGATATTAATCAACAAGTCAAAAGGTGGTCGGCAAGGGTGAATGCCTTAATGGATCACCTTTTCTCCGTTAACTGATATCAAGTTGAAGCTTACAAACGAAAACGACTTCAAGGCAAACACAACAATCAGCGTTCAGAATTACACTGTAATACGCGAAGTTTGTTCGAATGAAAGCATGATAATAGCTATACTCGGATAATTTATTGATGAAAATTAGCAAGAATAAGAGCACCGTGTCAACGACGAAATTTTCCGGCGGCATAAAGAGGAACTTCAGTCGAAATCCAACAGATTCTACGCACTGTTCTAGAATGACTGCACAACATCTTATACGAGTTCTTGTTACATTCAAAATAGTACCGTTTCATCACACACTCCTCTGGATTTAAACTTATGTACGTGACGTTTCTATTTTTCATCCTTAGATCTTTACTCAGAGCCCAGCAAACAGGACTCTTCGGTTATAATTTTGGCAAAATGAGACCCCACGATCGATCGTCACTCACTTGAACCGGGAATTTTAAAATTCCTGGAGATGACCGTTCGAAACACTCGCATAGTAGAGTTTCGCAGGGGTTCACTAATCAGTGGATGGATTCTGAGGTGATGACCGCGACCCAAAAAGGGAATCCTGCAGTTTAGGTCAAGGAGAACGGGAGTGTGGTCTAACGTATACAGAACGTGAGTCAGCGATTACATACATGAGGACACTGTGCAACAGCTCTCTCCGCAAATCAACAACTGCTTTCTGAAACAACGAGAAGTATTTCAGCTGGAGTTAATTCAAATTGAGTAAATAAGCATGCTTGCAGCTCATTGTGACCCATGCAACAAGAAACAACCCAATGATAAACACTAAACAACAACAGGGTATAGTTTGGATTCATATTATGAGTGTAATCAATTTACCTGAGGTGAAGAATAGCTCAACTGCAAATTTATTCTCACTGAAATGAAACCAATCCACAAAAACATCCTATAACTCAATGAAATAAGTAATTCGCTTGCTCGGAATGGGCAAAGTCTATGAGATTCCTGTGAACGAAGTTTACAACGTCATTACAGACGAAACAAGAAATTGAAGATATTATTTGGAAAGATGAAAGGACCTAACAGAAATACAAGGTTGAATTGTTCTTGAAATTCGTGCATAGAGTTTTTGAACTGTTTTGTAATTAGAAACTGCTCTATTCTTCTGTATTTTTTCGCTATGAATTCCGAAATTTCTTCCGCAGCTCACTTTATCAACTACAGCGGCAATGAATCTTCCAAATCACCAGGTACAGATAGTATCACTTCAGTGATCTGATATGTAGTATCAATGAATTCTCTACTGGTTCTCGCCAACTGTTCATGCTTCTGTGAAACTGTAACCTATGACAGGCAAAATATTATCAGAAATGATTCCTCTGCTGATTATAATAGTATGATCTCGTCTCTATCATCTGTTTGTATTAACAGGATGACCATCTAATAATCGGAGCATTCAGATTTTTATTGTTAATTGTTATTCATTATCAATACTATTATTCAAACTGTTTCCTAAATATTACCATCACAAATATAATGCAATGAAACGATCAAATTTGGACGATTCTTTGAATGTGAAATCGAAGTATTATATAACGTTGCTTCAATGACACAGTTTAATTAAATGCTTTATGAACCTTTCATACATAGTTATACACACATAAACAACTTAGTATTGATTAAGTTCACTGGAGATTATATCAATGAGGCCATTATCGAACTCAGTCATTGACGACCCAGGGCATGATTTTGCACTTGCGAAAGTTGATCATTTTTCACAATTCGGATGTGGCTCATTCTCACTTCATGTATAAAATACATTTGTATTTCGTTACTACGAACTTGTACTTCAATTATATGCGTGCACTTGTCGGCAACACTAAACTGATAGCTACAATAATCATAACTCCAAATTTGTGTCGATAAGCTAGAATGCTTCATCCAATTTTGGAGTTTTTCGAAACCTTACAGCACCTAATATTCGAAAGTTGAACTTAAAAACGAGTCACAAGTAATGTTGGATGTTTGATAGCTTTTAATTCGAGCTTTGCTCGCAATAAACAACACTGTCGACGTTCTTCAACGATTTGCGCCACTATGCGTGTTCGCTTGATTTCTTCTTTGTGACACTCGTTACGCCAATAATACTGTTCATCTGGACTGAGTTGTTGTTGAGAGCTTTCAGATGCAGCCAATAATTCATTTTGTACTGCGATAATATCTGCCTTATAACGTGCGATTTGTTCATGCAATGCCGTATAGGTGGCTAAAAGCTGCTTCTCTTCAAACATCTCTAAACTGGGTCCATCGCTTGCGTTTGTTTCGACGCTTTCTGATCGACGACCACGTAATGTTTTCAACTGAAACCACAAGCTTTTGAATCAACAATTCAACACTGGACAAATGAGAGCAATTTAAACAATATTCTAAATTCAGTTACAAATTATAACATTTCACTTGCCTTCCGACTTAATAAAGTAATGGCTGTTTGAACATCCCAAATTTCCTCTTCTTTTCCTTCAGTAGCAACGCTCATCTCTCTCAGTTCTTCGATCTGCAACAAAAATACACCTAAAACCGGAACATAAACAAATTTTGCTCTAATAATAGAAAAATGGTAGGTTTCCAAGGGAACAAGCGCATAAAAAACAGTACTGAAACGTGAATTTCGAGCTTTGTTGAAGTAGCGCAGCTCACCAACTCATCAAATGTGTTATATAAACAGAAAGCTGGTGATAAGCGAGAACGATCCCAGCACGAATGACAGCCGTTCTTCATTCTGATTTTCAAACCCTCCTTCAAAACCCATTGTTCAAACTTGCACTATATTGTAGCATACTTCAAACCAAAACCAACTATGTGGTATCATGTAATCAAAATTTTTCTCTCATTTACATGCATTTTTTCCATCAGTGATCACGTTGAACAGAATGACATTTTGGAATGAATCATTCGGTTCACATTTGTCAATTCAAACAGCTCGACAAGGCACATTACCCCACTTTCATCAGTGCTTTTTCCACAGTTAAGCATGCAAAATTGGTATAACTCCGTTTATATCAATTTCAGCACTGTATAAGATACTTGTGATCACATGTTGAAAAACGAAACAACCAATGAAATGAAGAAAGACCATTTGCACCATATGCGCACAATACTCAAAAATGAGGTGATCTATTAACATACCTGCTGGTGAAGTTGATTAAGACTACTCCTTTGTTTTCTTTCTTCCTCGATCAACTCCTCTTCAGAATCTGGCAGATTATCCTGGCTGAAGCTTTTTGGATCTTTTGGAGCGACATAGCTGAAAGTAACAAGTTGAAAGTCATTCAAAAAGTAAATGCTAGAAATGTTGAATTGCGGGATTACATTTGAAACATATCAAAAACATTGTTCACACTGTTCTGCACAAGCATAGACACTTCATTTCAGCTGAATAACTCGCAACAAAAATCCATTCATCTATCCATAATTTCCGGTTTTCATTAGTCTTAAAGCTTGTTTTGCTTCAATTTTTCCAGTAGGATTTCGAAGCCATAAAGAGATTTTATGAACAAATCTCGTACGATTTCACTGTACTGTGCCGTGTCGGATTTGTGGGTTCAAAACATCAACATGAAACATACAATAAATAACAATAAAGATAACGATTAATTAAGTGCTGATGAGATGTATGTGAAATCTACGAAAGACAGATGAAACGACTTATCGAAAGTTATTTATACAAATGGAAGATGGATTAAAAGAAAGATGCACTGGATAGAATGTAAAAGATGCGTTAAGAAACCGGTCACTGAATGGCATGAATGTGGATCGTAATACTGAGGGGTTACATATTCGTTACGAATGAGAATAAGACCTAGGATATGATGAACAAATTTGTTCGATTAGATCAGCAACACTTTAATGAACAAACCAAACAACGCCAGTATAGAACTGAATATATAGAAAATTAATGGTGAGATAGATATTAAAATATTATTCGTGTACCCATCTCTCTCTTTAACATCTCCATGTTTATAACACATCCATCCGTCAATGAATTCATCTCATTTAAAACTAAGTCATAAGATTGTATCCAATTCATTCAGTGTTCCGAAAAGATGCGTTATGAAATCAATTGATTTCTTCTGTTTCGACATTATCACTTTTCTGTAGTAAAGCGCTTTATTATTACTATTATTTGATACTTGATTCAATTCCGTCTACGCGTTGATGCTGCTCGATGAAAATAATTTCATTCTGTACGATATTCGAAAACATATAATCATGAGCAAAAAGTTACAATTCAACAATGGCACTCTGAGTTCGAATCAACGACAAGAGCACATCCATTTTGGAACAAATCGTTGCAATGATTTGCTGGATTCCAACAACCAACAGTCTATTTCGAATAACGTCCGTAATCTGGTGGAAACTATACCTTATGATGATATTCACTTCAACAAACATCCTCATCAATATTCAACGATACAACATCGAACAAATTCATACTCATTCAATTTTGTTACTGACATATTATCAGTGAATAACATCAACAATATTTTTTCGTTCACAATTCTTTTATTCGTCATATTTTACTGTTCGCCAATCGGCGCTACACCACTCTCAAATATTCCCGGCTGTACAGATATTGATAATCTAGAAGAAACGTTTGACTTTGAGACGTCTTCAATAAACGATCTTTTATTATGCTTTTGCAAATTAAAAACTAATGCCAATGTTACTATCAACTGTCTTTACGGCTCAACACTAAATGATCTCAACAAAGCAATATCGCTCGTTGAACAAGCGAATGCCACAGTTGACGAGGTAAGATGAATCGATTCGATTGGTCCTAAGAAACGATATGAAAACTGTGTGAAGACAACTCATTTAGCAAATTTTAATTCACACCCTGGACACGATCAAACATCCACGTTCTCAACTATCCCCCAACGTGAAACTGAATTACAATTTGCTGAATCACTTCTTTGGATACAGTGAAAATTCATGATAAGAGTGCGAACTTCTTCGATTTGATCAAATAAAATCAATGATAAAAACATTGTAGAATTCTTGAAGACATAGAACTGCGAATCAAAACTTGATTTCAAACATATATTTGCGAGCTGAGAAAATTTATCTGTCTGAAACAAATCTGACGAATTTTATCCAGTCGAATGACGAATAAGTGTTTTTAAAAAATTATAAACTTGCATCAGTCTGCCTCGTGAAATTAAGAATGGTTTCATTTACAGATTATGCTGAGTCATATGGAATTCAATGAAACCGGTTTACCGAACGGCTTTTTTAATCGCACTTCAATACGTCTCAAAACTCTTTCTATCGGTAAATTAATACAACTGAATGAATGTATATTCAATGATTATTAAATGTCTCAATCCTAAAAACATAAATCCAACATTTTTGAATCAATCATCAGTAATATTTTTCTTATTCTCCCCTCTCCTTTCCAAATATATTTAACAATACGAATGAATGATTCATGAATCCCGTCATAATTATTCTCATAAGCACAACTCAAAATTGATATAACTCGTACACATGTTTTATGAACTGATAATTTCCTCATAAGAATCAATAAACGAATCATCAATAAGAAAAATCTTGAAGGATTATGCACACAATCGGATGCACTTCAAGTGAATTCACACTCATTGGACGGACTAGAAGAAACGTTAGAGAATTTGATGATAACGGACTGCAACATGGACATGATACCAACAACACTTGAATCGTACACTCGTTTAAATTCATTATCATTGGCTCGTAATCGACTTACAACTGTCCCGAAGAACAGTTTCGCAGCTCTTGAGAATGTATGATTATATTCAGTTATATTATCTATAGGAACAACAAACTCCTCGTTTATGACCTCATCGATTGAGAATAGTGATCAAAAATTAAATGAATTACTCGACCGATCCTTGCTGTTAAGATCAAAACCGATGGAACTTGTTCGATAAAAGTTTTTCATTATAATTACAATGTTACGAAGGTGATAATGACTCCTTGTATGTAACATTGGTTGCATAAAAATAGACTCGTAGAGTCCTTCAGCCTCAAATTATTATCCTTCAATTCCTGTATTACGAGATCAACCCAGTATTTTTTTCTGAGAATATTATTGTACAAGATATAATTACGAATACTTGAATGAATTTCAGTTGGTGTCGCTGAATTTAGCCGGTAATTTCATCGCTTCAATGGAAGAAGGAACATTAGCGCAAATTAATAAATCACTGGAAGTTTTAATTCTTGGTGAACATAATTTCATAAATGAAAGTATTTTCAATGAGATTGCACAACTTCGAAATCTCAAGGTAAACGAACAGAACCTTCTGCAGTCTGGAATATCCACGCATTTTGATATTTACATCATTCGAGAAATCATTATTGCCGTTTCATTCCAGACGAGTATTTTTCAAATTCATTCAATAGAGGAAGTGTAGTAGTACTGACTTAACCCGTTCAATTTGATCTACTGTGAGTGTCTCATAAACTCTCTAACAAAAGATATTTATTTCCTCAGTCGACCAGCACTGTCCAGATCAATGTTAGATGAATGTTACCAAAGCTGTCATTTGTGAAACATGTTTTACCATGAAAAATTAACTGGAAATTCGAGAATGTTTATCGAAATAAGCAGTAACGATTCATCAATTAACAATGATACCAATATTGAAATTATCGTATAAGTTTCAAATATACTTCATTAATACATGTCATAGGTACTCGATCTGAGTAAAGCGGATGGCATAAGTGAATTTCCAGTTGGAATATTCGAGAAGCTCACAAAACTCGAAAAACTCTTGCTGATGGGATGCAGTTTGACAACAATCACCAATCAAACATTCCGTGGATTGAATAATTTAATCGAGGTTTGTTTCTGCTAAAACTTCGATACTAATTGCAACGATACCGATTAACTGAATTCAGCTGGATCTACGCGTTAATTTGATTCGAGAAATGGAATGCGCAGCATTTCAATCAATCCCCAACATTCGTCGTTTATCGTTGGCTGGCAATTACTTGAATATCACACAGCCATGCTTTTGGAATGATCTGAATAAAATCGAAGAACTCGATCTATCATGGAACGAACTCAGCCAATTACCGGCTCAAAGTTTCAGTCAACTTGGCAAAACACTACGAATTCTCAACTTACGTCACAACACGAACCTCACTCATGTTTGTTTTGTTCTTGTTGAAGAATTGGTTTAAAATTCAAAAAAATTTCATTCATTCGGTCGAGTCAATGATCAAAGCAAAACCATGTATGAATTCATGCACCGAATCTCTTCTGAACGTTCCATTCGCTTGTGTTTCCCCAGCGATGATACAGTAAAATTGTGCGAATGATATTAGCAATACCAAAGATGTGACTTTATTACATTCTGTGATATGATCTTGACTATTTGAGGCAAAATAAACGTTTACAGAATGAAAAAGAAACGAGAGATGAAGAGAAAATCGTTTGCATGTAAATGAAAATAGCATGAATGTGACTTAAACTGATTTTTCCTTCTTTTCTTGAAAAAAATATTATTAGGTGCGCGCTCATGATGACGTTTCAAAGAAATTTAAAAGTTTTCTTGGTCCTTTGTGACATGAGCTACTGCGTTGCTAGTGATGCCAATCTCAGATTGATGATATTGATGTTCATATTAGTATTAGTAATAACATAGTAGGGAATATTGACAGAACACCAGGATTTACCAACGTTTCGGCGCTAAGGCCATCATCTGGGTAAGGTACAACACTGAGTGAAATCATATGTGAAGAGTAAAAAGCGATAAATTGGGTTTGTTGGTAGTGGATGGTTTTTTTAAAAAATTATCATGTTAATAATTTAAAATTTGTGATTATATGGTTATGAATAGGCGAGAGAAGGAGGTGTGTGAAGAATAATACTGATGAGATGTTGTTTAAAATATGTGATACGAGCAAATGGGTTATGATGGGTATTATGGGAGATATTTGAGGGCTTGAACCATTTCTTCTTTGCGATTTATTGATGTTTTGAGTTTTTGGATGAACTGTGCTTCTAATATTTGACGTCGGACAATGCTGGATTATTATTGTTGAGGGTGAGATTTTGGGACAGTTTTTTCGATGTTGTGCTAGGGGCATGTTTTTGTATGATCATGCATCCGGCTTTTTAAGATAGCATGAATATACTTTCAGATCGATGATTACGCATTCGATAATCTCACAAATGTGATCCGATTGAATCTGAGTAATACAGCGATCACAAACGTCAACGCTGCTCATTTTGCTTCTCTGATCTCATTACAGGTGTGCTTGCTTTACTGATAGCAATAGGATAGGTTACATTTAAAAACTTGCACTCAATTATAAATCATTATTAATAACGAACACTTCATGATGCTAAAATGATGAAGCTGCCTGCACTGAACAATTCAGTGAACGAAATTCAGAAATAAAAATGGAGAATAATTCTTGAACGATGTAACACTGCGTAAAAAAGATGAATAAACTAACTGCAAGTAATCAAATTTAGGCAATTGACTTATCAAACTCACAGCTGCATTCAGTTGTCAGTCAGTCCTTTGCCAAGCAATTCTCAACTCTACAGCAACTTATGCTCAATAATAATCAACTGCGTACACTACCACCCCAATTCATTGAACACTTACAACAACTTAAGCAATTGGATATTTCATCAAACCTGTGGCTATGTGATGAAGCAATGAAAAACGGTTACTTTTACTTCATTTTTGCTATTTACACTTTGATTTCATTCATTTGTCACATTCTCACTAAATAAACAACTACAGAAGACTGTAACAGAAATTCAAATGTGTCCAATAAAACTGTGGTTTGTTTTGCCAGAAATGCGCCTTAAACCAGCCTCCTTCTTGATCACGAGATTTTTGAGAAATTGACGCGTACCGATTCGAATCTCGAAGAGAAGCTTCTCACGACTGAATTCCCCCCTCCGGAATTGTTGATAAAAGAAATATGCTGAATTGACGATAAAACGCTATATCTCGTCCCTGAGGACTTTATTTCTTATTGAATAATAATAAAATGTGAACTCTTTCAACGCTGATTACAAAACACAAATTGAAAGGTGAGCTGATGAAAGCAACCGTTGAAAGAATGAAGGAAACTTTCAGTGATCACTGAAATCAATGAGAAATATGCGATTGCTGCACAAACATCAAAAGAGTTTTTGCTGATTAATGCGAACAACACCATTTGTGATCGACCTTATAGTCTACGTGGTGAAGTTATCACAGATATTGATTCGAATCTTTTGGTAGAATATAATCCCATTATTGATACAACAACTACAACAACAACTCAGAGACCGATAACAACAATCGATATCGACACCACAAATACGCTATTCACATTCTTTCCAGTTAGTTGTTCAGCCTTAAACCAAAAACGATTCATTCCGTTTTGAATTTTGATAAACAGAGTGAAGTTTTCTAACAAATTTATACTGTTGCATTGCGATTTTGGGATATCGACGAGTGAAAGTGTTTGAACAGTAAGAGAAAAGAACTGGTTCCAATTTAGGTAGTGAATATTGATAGATGGCGCAAATATCATTTTCAATAAACGTCCAGAAATCTATCCTCATATCGTGCTCAAATGAGCATCGCATCGTGTAAATGCCAATAACATAAATAGGTGATTATACGGAAACGTTCAAAATTCAGTGGCCAATAAGAATTTCAGAATGAAGCTTTTATTGGAAAGGATGATGAGCAAGGAAATTCTGAACACTCAAAAGCAATAAGTGGTCAACGAGCACCACCTGAATATGATATTAACGTACATCAAACACTGACCAATAACTCAGACCAACAATTCATGGCAACCTTAATAGCACTTGGTGTTATGCTAGCAGTTTCTGCAGCTGTAACAATTGCAGTCGTTTTATATGTTAAGGTATATCATTCATAACACATAATGTGTCATTATCGACAATAATATTCACAAACTATTTGAATGGTTCACAGCCGTCAACAATATCGAAAACCGTTTTACAACTCAGAATTTTACTCTCGAAAACTTAGTCGATATACTGAATTCTAAGAGTTCGTATGCGTTTTTGTTTCATTTTCGGCTGCTCCAACACAAAATTATCTCATGCAAAATCATATTATCAAACGTATTCAATAGCTGAAGTGTTAGCACTAACGAACGAACACTATTGTTTATACATCAATTGTGGATGAAAATTTCAGAAAAGAAAAAGTGAAAATACTGACCATGTAGCTGATACAGAGATGGATGCAAGGTAAGCACTCATGTCCACCATATGCTTTACTAAGAAAAAACAGGGCAACCAAGAAAAGTTATTTTCAAAGAATATCTTGATTGCAGTACAAAAAAGAGACGTGATCAAATTGTTCAACAGATTTTACTACTTCAATTTTCATCTTACTTGTTATTTTCAGACCTAGTAACGGTAGATGTAAACGGAAGAGTATTGAAGAGGATGAAACAGGAAAGAAGTAAAGTGGTCAGCATAACCAACTGCATTTCTATGAGAGGATGAATTTATTTGATATCGTTCGATTGACAAGGTGTTATAATTTATTGCTGTATTATGGAAACGGAATAAGCTGAATCTATCACATACTCGAAAGAATAGCCATAAAATAAATTATTCCGAAAAAATAATATCCATAAAATAAAAACAAAATTTATTCTGTGAATGTTTCCATTCTGCATTTCCAAAATTGACGCAAATATTATACGAAGCCATGATTCGAAACGGAAATAACGTATTGAACTTTGAAAGCAATCCAATTACACAACAAAACTAATGTCAAAAAATGAAAAGCATAAATGAAGGGTCGAGAAAAATCTTTCGAAAATTGAAATTACTAACCGTTTCAATTCAACGTCCTTGAATAAATACACAACCTGAAAAGAAGTGCACGAAATCAAAATGAACTCACGCGATTCCACTGACGTACCTATATTACTGAAAAAACCGAAAAACTTCATTTACTGTACATTGATAAAGTTTTTGAATTCGGCAAACTTTTTAAACCATAATCTGTTTTCGCATGCTTTTACTTTCTCCTTATCAAAAAAAAAAGTTTTTTTCCTTGATCAGCTCATAACTGTAAGGAAACATGCTGCACATGCAAAAATATGAGAGCAAAAAAAGTTTGTCATAATTTTTAATACTATCATAAAATTACATGTACTTTTACTGATAACGGGCGCCACCGCGCCATCACCGATGCTCGTATGCTCATACGCATCACACATAAGTCGAAGCCTACGCGTTAGCCTCATCTTGGGCTAAGCGTAAGTCTAAGCTTAAGCATACTCCTGATTTGACTTCGAACTGCATATCTACACATGAGGCAAAGCGGTAATCTGAGCACATGCGCGCAGTGGCGCCCGTTATCAGCAAAAGTGTCAAATTACGTTCCTATTTATTTTAATAAATCATTCGAAAAAGTGATACGTGAAAGAATCAATTGAACAAGATTGATTATCAGCGAAAAAATTCGAATAATATGTTGTTAAAGAGAGAGGAACGTTGAGTTTGGAAAAATAGCAAAATGCGATACGAATCAAATACAAGCACATACCGAACAGTCAGAATTTTGACTGAGAAGATCAGAAGCGTTGAGAAGGAAGATCCTCAATAACAATTGCGAAATATTAAGTGCTGCTTGCAGAATTAATCCTAATGCGGCAACACCCATTTTATTTTTCTGGGAATTTGCGATGATTTGTTGTGAATGAATGAATAAATATGCTAATAGAGTATAGTTCTCGGGTGGAAGCTTCGAGAGTTGAGCTTTCAAGAGATCAGCAACTAAACAACGACACGCTGGTAATGAACGACATGGGCATTCTGAAGGAAACATATTAAGGCACTATTAGGCATACGGTGAAACATATTGTAATATTTGAAATGGAATAAGCACAAAAATCAACAATTTGAATACTGACTACAAAAATTCAACTAAATTAATACTAACTATAGTAATTTCTCATTTTGAAGAGTGTAGCCAGCATTTTGGCTTAGACTTTCATTAAACACAAAGAATCTGGACTGTATTTTCTCTGTAGCATTGTCGTAATATGCGATGCAAGCTTATAAGAACTAAAGCTGAACAAGCCAAACGCATGACAGGATGGAGATATTTTGATCGACAAAAGTTAAGTTCACAATACCTCAGTATCGACCGTCATGAATTGTATGTGTTAATAATCATACCTGCAGCTATTTTTTCGAATGTATTTCTCATTTCGTCGGTAAGTACATTATTTGGTAACTTTCGAAGGAATCTTTTCAAAAGACCAGCTGCGTCATGCACGTCATTCAAATGCACTGGCTTCCTCCAATTCGCCATTTCTTCTAATTCATCAAGATGCGATTTGGGTGAGGAAATGCGATAAACTCCTTCCGTTTCAAGACCTCAATTTGTTGTTACATTCACAATGTGAATCGAAAATCTGTTATAACTGACAGTGATATGAAAACAATAAAAACTGTACTTAATACAGAACAGAATAAAATTGCTTGAAATAAGAAGTTGAAATAATAAAAATTATCATACCATACTGACTAACGTAATCAATACATTGTCGGACAACAACTGGTAATAAAACGCCATCATGTGAAGGCATTCGTGATAAGGCAACACTCAATGGTACTCCAAAGACATTATGATCACCTTAAGAATAGATCATTTCTTCCAATTTACTGAACAATAACGAAGTATTCCATCCAAACGGTATATTCTGTAGTCTCAATTAAACTTGAAAATTATATTCGAATTAACGATCAAACAAAATCTGCAGCCAAATTCACAACAGCAATAAAGATATACAATACAATATGAATGAAATGAAGAAAAATTAAAGTCAGCACCAAACGGATTCGTCACAGATGATAGCTTTGTCTTATCATCGACCTTTTTCTCGCTTTTCTTTTTATCTTTCGACTTTTTTCCGAACATCAATGCCTTCTTGGGCTTTGTTCTTATTCTGCAATTATTCAGCAAAGTTGATGCATCACAACTATTATTATTTACTGAGTACCTCTCACAATTTCATCTATTAATGCATACAATCTGATCGCATGGCAATTCGTACTTGATCAGATAAATCTCCCGAGTTATACACCTCATGGATGGGCAAACGGATCGGCATTGAGCTCGAGTGCTTCATGAGCTCTCCGAGAGAAGATGCAATGAAAGCACACACCATTCTCGATAGCATTCATTTGCTAATCACTTTCTCAAGCACATATCTTTTACATGAGATGATACTCTCTAAACTCTTTTACGTTCATCGTTAATAGCCAAAACGCGAAAACACAAACAGAAAATGATGAAATTGTATTCACTCAAGTGGACTGTAATCATCTCGCCGCGTTTTTTTGCTCTTTTCGGCCATCCAGCATTCGTTAGCGCTTTATGCCAAAACGGATCCGTCACTTTATTCCTGAACGAAAAATTTCTTTTTTCGAGATCTCTTTGAAAATAGACGCTCACTGATGGGATAATTTCTTGAACGACATTTCACAAATAATAATATGAAATTCCTTACTTCCATTGTTGAAAAATGCAATTCTAGCCACGACGGGCAATAGAGCACTACCTCATTACTCATCGTTAGTGAAATGGCACAATATGTGCTCCGCTACCAGACAAATAACTATTCCGCTATTTCTCTAACGATAAGTGTCAAAATAGTGGTACCTAACGCTATCGCCCAACTCTGCATTTTACTATAAACATCTCGTAGAGCAGTGGCTCTCATTGGGATGAAATTACCAATTACCCATTTTGGGGGTCTCGTCGGGGTAATGGAGGGGTCGGGAAATTAGGATTTCATGCAGTTGTTATGTTATGGTAAAAGGCCATTGTGATGGTGTTTTTTCAACTGGGTATGTAAATACGATTAGTTCATGGCAGCAGCACTCTTCTTAAGAATTGTTTGAACTCTTTGGTAGGACAGAAAAGATCATGGGTTTGGTGTAGGACGATCGAGTATTTCTGAACGTGATCATATCAATTTCTTTTTCAATTTTTACAATTTCTAATTCTTGTGTCGCTTATGAATGTTTTTTCAACCGCTATAATACTTCTCCCGTGACGAATGACAACATATTTCTTATGATGTTAATGACTGAAATGCTTGAAAAGTAGAATATGGGAATTTCAGTCTTAATGCACCTGTCGCATCTCAAAACGTTGGATAGTTCGAATTTATTTTCATCCCTCCGATGAATTTTTACTTATTCATTAACCATCACTTTGATGGAATGATTGATTTTCCGTTCATCTCAAAGATAATTTCTCAAATGTTTATTGCGTCGTCCATCTTCATGAATAATTGAACTTGTTGTTAAATTTCTTTTTTTTTTTTTAAATCGCTGAAGAATGTTTTTTTCATTGCTTTTCGTTTTTGATTGCCGATGTTCATATAGTTTCCGCAATGGATGAATAAAGTTCTAACAATACTTGTTTCATTCCAGAAAATTAATTTCTTTCACGCCATTCAGGAATTTTCAGATCGGTTTTCCTCTTCTTTCCGATGTTGTGCGTAGAAATTGTAAGTTTTGTATCAGGAGGGGTGGAGGGGAGAGGGTGGGGTAGCGGCGACGTGCCAGACCATCAAAATGAGTAATAGAATACCCGAGCGTGAGAATCACTGTCGTAGAGTGACACAAACAATATTTTTGTAATCGCTCACTCATTTCGAGTATATTCTATCAAAAATCGTTTCACACTCATTTGTTGTTATTGATGAAATATCTTTTTTGAACTTTATCATATTCACAAAGAAATGCGCGAATAATATCTTTCATTTGATGTCATTTTAAGAGTGAATACTTTCTGCAGTATCTTCAAAGGCTGTTCAACCTTTTCTGAATTCCTACACTAATAAGGTTGTTTGCATTCATATTTTATTTATTCAATCAATCAACTTTCCAGTAACCAATCAATTATAAACTACTGAAGTTTTGATTCTGTCAAATCAACTAATACATAAGGAATGCAAATTAACACCACAAAAAATACATGTAAAAGATCATTTGCATTAAATGACTAAAATAATCGTCTAACAAACGCAGTTATTATTATTATTATTATTATTATATCATCATAAAGCAACACACTGCGTATGAATATATAATTTGATAAAATAGGTAAAAAATACATGTACAAAGAAAACATCGTTACAGTACAATGATATCTTTTAGTATATAATGAAGTGATATAAACTGTAGAGAACTCAATGGAAAAGTCAATATAGAACTCGCAATGGAAATGCAACTGGTTTTTTTTTTTTGTAATGAACAAAAGAAACACTTCGGAGTACCTATTGTCCTAACGCAATATTTTAAGACAGCATTTATTGAAATTCATTCATAACATATAAAGCATGGATGATCAACATATATAATTCAACTGCGAAGTAGATAGTTTTTAGTGCTGAAATGCCAACTGAAGAGAGTGACAATGAATCATACATAAGTGTACGGATTGTCTCACCTAAACGAATTCGTTTGCTAGTTTATTGCTTACCAAACAAATTCGATTGTGTCGAATCGCGCTCCTATGACCGATGACTTCATTGACAGCCAAATAATGAAAACAAAGATGAGGAATGCAAATGGCATTTGGGTATGGACGGTGTCGAGCATTTGAATCGCTTTTTAAACATTCCGATGAATTGTTATACAGCAAACAATACGATAAGTGTGAATTTCATGGCTATTTCAATCATATTTTGTGAGAATAGCCAGCGCTTTATGCATGTAATCAATAGCAGTTGCTGCGTCTTCATAATGCAACGCACTAACTGCGAATTTTGCGGCGTTTTGAGCTGCAATAAAATCATCCATTGTGAGTTTTGAAGATGGCGGAGCAGCAGCGGCCGGATTGCTTCCAGCTGATTCAGGATAAGAGGCGTTATCATGCTGAGGCACTTGTGGTTGAGCACGAGCTGGAGCAACTGGTCGTTCGGGTGATGACGGTTGAGTATGTGTTGATGGAGCCGACGCATTACCAGCATCTGCCGGATGCACTGAAGAAGCTTGATCTGGTTTAGCTGAAAATAACAATTCATTTCATTCAGCTAAAATTGAGTACGTAACTCATAACTGCTGACATAACTCACTCCGAACATCATCAGTGTTTTCATCTGGTGAATTTGAAAATTAGCGCAAATATGTGCCGAGTTTACTAATCAATCTATCGAAGCTTACGTGGTACATGCAGTTCCAGATCTGCTAATTCATCCTCACCCTCAGGAGGTCCAGGTTTGGGTGTTTCACCATTCTTCAAACAATTATGAATGTAAGTTGCCTGAAAATGAATGTTGAAGAGATGGACGTACCAATGCAATGAAAAAAGAAAAAACTTAATTTCGATAACGGGACATTACAAATGAAATTCCCTTGGAACAAGAAGATTGAAACAGAGAATTGATAAATGTAAATTTCATAATCGAATATAACATATTTTGTAATAATTATCTTGATATCTCAATCAAAGACGTATAAACGGCAGTTGGTTCATGATAATAATAATAACAATTCAGTCACCTTCCATTTCGCATACTTTCGAGTAGCTGTGAGGTTTTCGTCAAGTTCACCAAATAGAGTCAAAACATCGATCAAATGTCCAGCTGTATAAAACGACTTGACAACGTTCCTAAACGTAATCGTAAGTCAAGTTCAAAGTCAGCAACAAACCAACAATTAACCATAAACCTTGATGATCTAACTGAAAATGAACAAAGAATAATTCGGTGAAAAACTTATGGTTCACTTAGAAAAATTTGATTGACGATCATTCTTATCTGCATATTCGAAAAGCTTCACGGCGAAATTCTCCACATGTGCTTGTGCGACCATATCTTGTGTTAATGCCTCTTGTCCAGCCAACTGCTTTTTTGTCTGAAAGATAAATATTGAACTACTCGAATGAAACTGCATGACACAAAACACTACCGCGAATGTAACTTACGCGTTAACTGATTTCATTCTCGAACAATTGCCAAATGTCAATTATTCAAACGATGTTATAGTGAATAGTTGAATAATACAAGTCAACACAATCGAATATGGTTGTTTCAAGCAAAAATATTGAAGATAATAATTCACATACAGTAAGCCTAGTGCAAACAAATGTAAAATCAATTCAAAAACGCACAGCTTCAAGCGTTGACAGCAACGAAGTGAGATACTGAAGTGCACCTGGCGAACTCTTGTCCAACGCCATACCAGTCTGAACTGCGTAAAAAAGACCTGAATTTGAGATAGAAACATCATACAAAAACTAACTGAAAAAATACAATTTCTAAAACAATCTTGTAACAGTTTTCGTTATGAAATAGAATAAACGTATAGAAGGAAAGGATCAAAAAGCTGAATCATCAAAAGTTGATTCCGATGCACTGATTAATGCAGAAGCATAAAGGCGGGCAAAAAGCAACTGAATTTTATTAAAGAATTCGAACTGAATGAATTACGAACACCAATAGTAAATGATCGGATCTCGAGCAGCATTTTCGTTCGCAATCTTCACGTAATGAGCGATCGGTCTTAACGATTGTGGTATTTGTGGAACTGATGACATGTTTTCGTTGCTGAATTGTTGGTTGTTTGATAAAACAATCACAGCTTTTTGGAAACCTCGTAAGCGAATTGCAGACACCTCAGTTGTTTGCGAAGATACGAAAATCAAATACAATAAGGAATGCACAAAGACTTACTTCATTGTGCTCAAATGTCTGACAAAATCCAGAACTCTTAATGCAATATTTCTCTTAACTTGAATGAAATTCATGAATCACTACGACAGAATTTCTTTCAAACGCGACTTTGTAAGGAAGTCGTTTAAGGAAATGTTCCACATTATTCAAGTAAGAATATAAAAAGAAAATCATGAGATGACTGATTAGAGGGCAGCAGTAGTTAAGATAACTCGTAACTTATGGCTGCATTAGATATTTCACATATCGTTAAACGATTAAGACATGCTAACACAAAGTGGTTTATGAAAGCATATTCTGTTTATTCGATAAATACATCCATATTAACGATGATGACAATAATAAGAATCAATCATCATTATGATAATGCACTCTGCATATTAGTTATCACTATTTGCGTTCTGAATTTTCCATTCATAGAGCACGCTTAGACGACGTCAAGAGATTCAACACATAAAGGTGAACGCATCATAGCACCACCATCCTCTTTCAATACTCCCAAGGCTGAATTTGCTTTTGGACATTTCTTCGCAATAACCACGAAAGTGGATGTTCGAGAACTCGGTAATCAAGAAGGAAATTCGTATTTTGTCAATTACATCTGATGAAAAATGAATTGTAGTTACTGGAGAACACTTTAGCGCAAATACAACGTATGGATCGACAACAGAGACCAACTGTGTTCCACTCAGATAAAATCAAACTATATGAAATGAATTCTTTGAAAAGGAATTGTGTTGAATCACACAAAATATGCAAACTGTTGCTCTATCAAAGAGATTATTGCATTGTATCACAGTGAAGAACATGATTTATACAATCGAAAGGCATAAAGAGAGCATTCTTTCATCACCAGTTAAATGACACTAATTTTCATTAAATTAATACAGCCAGAAAGTCCTAAGAAGGGAATGAAATCAAATCAATTATTGTTGAAATTAAAAATGAAATGAGAGAAATATTTGAATGAGAAATGAAAACAACAATGAACAATATTCCACAATCAAAGTGGATGAACTTCGGGTGTATATGTGAAAACAATAAAAAATACCCAAATGTGTAAAAGGATCGAATAAATTAAGAAAAAGATTCGGAATACAGGACTGCGCATGAAATTCGCTAAACGGAATCTGAAAAATCACTTCATTTCTTCCGTGATTCTATGAATTACACTCTGTATAAGATGACACTATCAATTCTCCAGTATTCGAAGGATTTTTCAGTCAATAAGTTCACTTTTGCATTCGAGAATACCGCTATCTCAGTGGATAAAGCATCTGAGTCTTAAAAAACATTAACGACTCATAAAAAATATCACCATCCTATGTGAATGAGTATAATCTATTCATTAAACCAAAATTTTAAAAGAACTGTGAAAAAACGTTAAATTATTAAATTGAGTGATGTGATATAAAAATGAGTAAAGTAAATGCATGATCAGAATCAACGTTAAAAATAGTTTTAAAAATGAACTGTACTTACCCAGCCAAATCAACAATATTAACAACTGATTTGAATGCGATTGTTGATGCACTGTCATTAGGTTTTCTCGGTAAAAATGATGTACTTCGATTACTGCTGCCAGTTTCGCGCATATCTATTGCACACGCTTTTATTGCCGCTGCTTCGGCTTGACGATATGCTCGCTAAAAATAGAAGTACAATCAATAACAATCGAATCAAACTCGGCAAAAAAACAGCTAAAAGCAAAATATGGACAATGAATTGCATGGAATACAACAATTGGGGAGGGAACAATGCAAATTGACATTAAGGGCCTCTGTCTTGGAACGAATTTCACGTCTCAATGAAAAATATCGATGAGAGACGAGCAAAGCTCACAGAAACCTCGCGCATTGTTTCATCTAATTGAAAAGGTGTTACCTAATCGCCCCGTTTCATCTCTTTTCGAAACGCAGATGCATATTTGGTAAAACCATAAAGCTATCAGAAAAGCGACATACAGCTGACAAATGGATAACTACGCAAATACTTGGCTTACTATGAATTAAAAATAAATATTTTTTGGTGTAGGACGACCTGGAAAGAACTGAGATAAAAATCCGGAGTAAATGCAGTTGTCGTGATCGAAACACTGATGCTCACTGAGATAATGAAAAAGCTCCAAAAAGCGTACATACGGACGTACGTACCTCAGATCTCTCAAGACGCAATGTAATCGCCCTTTTTTCGCCCTCAAGTCGTTCAATATCCGTTTGTTTCGCAATCAATTTTTCGCTCATTAACGCTATTCTCTGCTCAGCTTCACCGGCTTCATACTTTCTCGTCGTTCTTCGTTCTTCCATCAATTTCATCAACTCCACGTCTTTTTCAGCCAGTTTACGATCTACCGCCTCTTCTTGACGACGCATTTCTGCTAGCAAAAACTCAAATTCCTATAACCAAAAAGAAAAATTACCATTTGGTTACTCTAAACGAATGATTATAATGATAGTAGATCAATGAACAATCAATTTAAAAAATGAAGTGCAACAAATTGAATTTCAAACAAAACACTAACAAGTTGCGTTCGTTCCAATTTTTCTCGGTATTGATTCGCTTCACTCAGATGCTGATGACACTGCTCAAGAAGTGCTTCACGATGTGCACCTGATGCTTTTTGCTCTTCTCTCAATCGATTCTCCATATCCTTCACGGACAATTTATAAATAAGAATTAATGTTTCATTTTCTTTAAGCGTTCGTTTTCATGCTTCAATTACTGAGTCGCTACACGGACGATCATTAATTAAAAGTTACTGAATTGGTGCAGTGATCAGTTTCTGAAGTATCTGCAATGAAGACCCATTTATATGGTGCAATCAAAAATAAATAACCTGAATATCGGCTTTTAAATTGTAAACGACTAGCTGTGACTGTTGCAGCTCTTCTTTCAGCAATTCTCTTTCGCATCGTAACTCTTCCAGTTCCACTGACTTCTCACCGCTATTGCCCTCCTTCGAACCACCCTATAATTTGCATCCATCAACATCACCACGACTTGAAACTTTTAAAAATCACCTTCTCCAAACCAATACACTGTTCAAGTAAAATTACAAAAACTAACAACATCAATAAAGAATCGAAAACAATGATGTCACCACTCAGAAACGTTCGCTCCTTTTAACGTTTCAGCAAATTACTCTCCTCATTCCGTGGTAATCAATGCAAATTATGATAAACTGAATGCATTTGTGATGTCGTAAATTAGGTTATAGGGCAAATTAATCCTGATTCTTGATTGATTGAACTTTGTACATAGTTGTAAACTGCTTACGAATACTCTATATATGACATACATTTGCACAATAAACCATTTTTCCTTTTGGAGTATCACCTAAACAGCACACTGCTCTGTATTTATTATCCAACTTTCTATGAAAAACTTGACATATCATCACCAACTTTCTTACGGTTCACGCGACAGCAAGAATAAAAGCAAAACATTCAACAATAAATACAGAACGTATCTTCATTACCATTCATTTATATACGGATTAATATACAGTTGAATGTCAACACCATACACTCACTTAGAATACGCAAAGTTTCGGGATACTAACCAGCAAACATATCAATCTAGAACCCAATCACATGTGTCCTTGAATTGATTAGAACGTTTCGGAGAAATGAAGAAAAATTCGACTGACTCATAGCACCAATCCACCTTCTTACGTGTCTGCTTTTTCTTGAGGTCAATTGCAAATGCGAATGGGATAGAGCAGTCGTTCGCATTTTCAAAAATTGATAAGGAAATCAAAAACTAACTTGTTTCAGTGTTTCCAATAATTTCTCTTTGGCACACAATATTTTTTGCGCTTTCTGCTTATATTCATCGAACTCATGTTTGTTAGCCTCCAAATTATATTTTGCCAACCTTAACTGCAAAATGTTCATTTGAGATTGTATTCTCCAAAGTTGGAATACTTTATTTGATTCAGCTTTTGGTAACATGAATTTATTACCATATGACGTCTTCATGTCCACAACAAATTTATGTAACAACAACAACAACACTTGCATATCTTAAACTGATCGAATTTAACACCGCAACAGTTACGTTTTCCAAACCAAAATGCCAATTATTTAAAACGTTCGGACTGCAGTACTGGCAAACGCAACTCGAAAAAGTTGAACGCTTATACAGCAAAGTGAACGCAACGCAACAATCAAGGTTATTCGAATGATTCAAAATCAAAAAGAATATTCAACCTCTTCAGTATAATGTCTCTTGATCATTTCCATTTCGGATAATGATGATTTTAATTTTTGAATTTCGTTCACCAACGCACTCTTCTCAGCACTCGCTTTCTCTAATCGTTTTGTGTATTCTGCCTCACGTCTTTCGAATTCGTTTCTTTCTCGTTTATATTCCGCTTCCATTTTTTCCAAATTAGCCACTTCAGCTGCTTGAGGACTTTCCATATTTGGGACATCTTCTGATGAATGTTGCAACGACCTACTGCCCTCACGTAGTGCCTTATTTTCTTTGATCAATTCCTCTACTTTCGCTTCCTTATACGCTACAGCGTCTTCAGCTTCCTGAGAATATATTTCAGTTGTCTGCAGCAGTGATGAGACTAACAATCAACAAAGCAATTAAAACAAAATCAGAGACAACCGTTGAGTTGAGATCACAACTGAAACTATGGTGCGATGAGCCGAAAATAAATAAAGATGATTCACTTGCGAGCTTAATACTCAAATTAGAAGTTTATTCGATAGACAGGACAATACAATAGCTTTTCGAGTAGTGAATGACATTGTAATCAAATTCTTCCCTAAGATCAGCGTGAAGCTAGTAGATGTGCGTTTTTTAGAGATCAACAAGTAACCTATTCTTCACTGAAATCAAAACTGATTTTGAACTGCATTACCATTAATGAGGAAGATCATTGGGGATAACCTGTAATTTAACGCTCATAACAGCCATTTGACTTTCTTTGAGATGAAGACTTTTGAGCGTGTCAGAATACTGGGCCTGTAGTTCTGCTTTATCATCAATCTCCAAGAATGTATTTACAATTGGAGATGTCGATGAACCTGGCAGTCCATCTGAAAAATTAATGCCATTTTCTGAATGAAATAAGTCATGACGTACACAGTCTTATAAGCGATGAAAACTAATTGCATTAACTGACGAGGCAATTGCGAGAATCTGAAAAGAACTAACGTGATGGCTGAGAAGTGTGAGGTACTGGTAATGATAAATGACTGGAGTTCGACGAACGTCGGCTATGCATTTTTGGATGATCGTTTTCATTCAAATATGAGATCAATTCATCTACTTCTTTATCATCTTTTTTACGGCTTTGGAACGAACGATTCGAAGATGAAAGAGCAAGAGAGCTAAAACGAAAATATTTTTTGTTAGCAATTAATTTCTCGGATAAAATTAATAAGTCATACAATTCAAGTTGGAATCAATCTGATACTGATTAATTAGAGATTTTCACAACAAAATGAAGACAGATGACTTGACAAGCGGAGAAAGTTCGATTCAGGACGAATCTAGTGCACACAACACTGGGATTTAAAGATGATTATCATTCGGATTGATCGCGATACCTGTTTTTTTTTCTTTTTTTGCTCAAAACAATTACTGCGAAAATCATGATACGAGAAGCAATACTATCAGTAAGCCCGCAGTGAAATTTGAAAGGGCATACAGCTAACAGTATTGAGGACGCTTGAATGACTACATATTTTAAAAAGTAATCGCAATTGCGAAGGTATAACAAAAGGATGAAGAACATCATTATAAAAATTAACATGAAAATGTGTTCATTACGATCATGAACACCAATGATACAAATTTTCTTGAAGCTTCGCTTTCATTCCTATGGTCATATCGCTATCAATTCACTCATTTAATTTATGAGATATTTATTGAAGTATGACTTGAGTAAAATTCAACTAACGACAAATCGAATACAGGCAAATTATTAAGTAGTTTGAATAAGGTAAATACGATTGATGTATTTTAGTTCAGCTGAAGATTACAATTTCAATGCATTTCTCCGGAAATATTTTTCTGTACAAGGCTGAAGTGATAGCATTCATAATAAGATAGATGCGGGAAAAATGCATCCTGGAAAAACCAACCGGATTGGCTGCTTGTATGGACTGGCGACACCAGGTTCAGAGACAGCTGTTTCATTTAGTAGCGACGCTTCACTCTCGACCCTAGTCAACTGCACACTATGTGCACTAGGAGTGCCAGCTCTGGGTCTCCTCAGCACCTGAATTGAATTTAATATCGCGAATACGAAACGCCACAATCAGGAACCCAGGTACTGAGCTTGCAAGTACCACAAAATACCGAGTTACAAACTTGTCTAGGAGTTGAAGCCTCGAGATCCAATCTTGTTAGTAATTCCAATCAAACTAAATGCTGATCCTTATATCTTCCATATTCACACAACCGCAGTATTCAACCCGAATCCTACTGGAATTTAACGGAGCTACTCAGTACAACTGAAAAAACGAACACGAAAAGTATCTTAATTGCATTTCACTAACATCAAAACTTGTTAGTAGATTCAATTCTCATCCTCAGTCGAATCCATTAAAATTTTCACCCACTACCTAATCTAGGAAAGTACGTGAATATGCATTAAATTCCAAAACGAACAATACGTCGGTTTTATTTTTGTAAACTTCCGAGCACAAAAGAATACATTACTTTAAAATGAATGAAACGAATTATCAAAGAAATGCTTCTTGGTACTTACATCAGCTGTGTTTTGATCGATTCTGTTCAGAAGATCCTCGGCCTTACCAGCAAAATCAGAAACTTTTGTTAACCAAGACATTTAGTTGGCATGAAACAATCAGTTGACGTACAAAAACAACTACGATGGCAAGAATTTAATGTATTCCTGCAAGAAGTACGTGACCTGAATGAATTTAGCACGGTTCATGTACGTGAATACCGCCGATTAACATTGAACAAACAGAAAAAAACCATATTATTGAGTCAGTAAAGTATAAATATATCTTGGGCGAAAGAAACGAAACGAAAAACTGTAAATAGCGGACCATCTGTCTCTGGGTTACCGACAGATGCATCTACGACATAGTTGCAAGCGCATAGTCGGTCACCCAAACGGCTCGGGTCTACGACAACGTGCCACTCTGACAATTTGCGCGTGCCTCATCATTTTTGTCGGAGTTAGATCTTGTCGTTGATGCATTTGTCGGTCACCCGGCCGTTCCCGTTAGCTTTATTTTTGTTCAAATTTAAACTGTTCAAATTTAATTGAAATTTAAATTCACTTATAAGCCGACGAATGCGATGTGGTCATGTATCCAGAATTTACTCTGGCTGGTGATGGTCAAAGCTGGACCTAGAGCATTGAATGTTGAGTACTTAAACGCCCAGAGTAAATGAATAGCTACATTTATATTTCAGTGTTTCACGAAACAGATTAATAATGACTCACAAAATCTGTATATTACATTCGTTGGCTTCGAGTAATTCAATAACTGCGTTAAATGCTGTACAAACATTATTACAATCTGGAGATGCTAAGGTTAATGAACGCGAGCATAATGGTTTAACGGCATTGCATGTTGCTGCCGCATGGGATCATCTAGCTATGTGTCAGTTACTGCTTTATTATGGTGCTGATCCTTTTCAGACTGACATTCATGGAAGGTTGACTTTTGCCTTTTTTCGTACTTTAACTTTCCAATTTACGTGCATGATTTGAAGTTCGTCATTTATGATGTCATCCATTCCAAATACGTCAAATACGTTTTTTCTTCAATAGGGAAAAAGAAATTAAAATTGTATTCCATCTTGTAATACGTAAGAAAAATGCTGGAGATCATACCAGTGTCAGTTTTAATGAATTTTTCGATTTCCGTATAAATTGATGTACAGGCGCAGTCTTGTAATTTTTATACGATAACAAAATGAAAAATGGAGTTATTTGTATGTGTGCACATTCAGTCTATTTATCTTCATAGGTTTGTTCAGATTATCCATTTTAGGACTGCATACGATGTTGCAATCGGTGAAACAAAGAAATTTTTTGCAAGAGCATTCAAAGGATTACAAAAAACAGACAAAAGCAATCGAATTATGCCACGTATCGGCTTCTTGCGTGCACTCACACAACTGTTCGCATGTGTATCTGTTCAACCACAAAATGACTCTGCTCTGAGACGTATGCGTCATTCATGGACTAACCTTGACACGTACCAAAATTCTGAAAATGAACTCATTCATCGAGCTAAACTGATTTCAAGTGGAAAAACTGGTGAGGAAATGCCTTCAACATATTTTCATTATGCATTTGATTGACTGGCGTATAAGAATTGCTTATGTTCTCGATGTATCTCGTACCAGTTTATGGGATTATTATGGACGTGAAACATACAAAATAAAAAATTATTTAAGAAAAACAAAATGCTGAAGGTGTCGTTGCATCTCATGGTGATTGGAAGAGTCGCGAATTCAAGGAAATGCGAAGAAGCGTTTCGTCAAATGAATTACATAATGAGCAGACCTGTGATTCTGAAAGGTTTTCGGATGAGACGTTTGTTACGGCGATTATGGACAATACAAATGATTTCCTCACTCCAAAAAAACATCCACTGAACCGGAATCGCCAGACAGAAATTGGCTTCGACGACGATTCATCAGTGGACAGACTTTGTTTGTTTCAAATCATATTAATTGAAAATTCTTTCGTAGTTTTGTAATATTAAATTAATGAAAACCGAACGAATAATGTCTAGTGGCATGTAAATTATGGAACGGAAAAGAATTCTTTCGTGAAGATGTGTGTGTGTGAATAAGAATGAATTAGTTGGCTTTATTAATTGAAGATGAAAAAGAGCGAATACCGTCTGATGTACTTCGAGTGGTAAAAAAATTTTCTGATCGTTCACTGAAACGCGAATTTGAATCGAGGTTTGCTTGGTTTTGTTTTGTTTATTGAGCAGTGTATTTCGTTATAAATTTGCTTTATCCATCGTCAGTAGGAGGCTTGTTATGATTTTGAACTTTGTTGCTACTGGAAAGATTAAGTCGTTGTATGGTTATCCCTCAGTTTGTGAGTGTGCAAGCCTTCAAGGAATTGTTTTTACATTGTTAATATCATATACACATACAATATTAGTTGTACTAGTTGACTGAAGTTACGTTCAGGGGTGTAAAGATTGGCCCATTAACTCCATCAACTCGATTTGCTTATGAATTAAAACTAGCACGAGTACTGAGTCAGATGACAGTGTTGCGTGACGAACAACCGAAGAGTATGTTCTTATTTTGTCGATTACCGATCACCCACTTACACAGCATTTTGAAAATTTCTGAAGTAATTGCGATAGAAATGAGTGTAATATTAAATTAATGAATAATGTATAGTGGCTAAACTATACATATTGGTTGACTTTAAAGTACTAAATGTATTTGTTGGTTCGTTACTAATGATTCCATTTGAAGAATTTAGCAGTGTGCTGGAAAGTGTGATTGCTGGGTCGAGCTGTGAGGCAGGAAGAAAAATGGATGAACTAGTTAAAAACGAATTCTTCTGTAGTGAGAATTGGCGAGAAGGTGTTAAAGCCACATCATTTTGTTACATTCTTATTGGTAATTCATTTATCTGCATCAGTTTTCTGCCCTACTTAATTATTTATAAGAGATGTTAAAGTTCATTGAAAGTATTCTCAAAATATCCTCGTTTTTACACTTAAACTGTCCATAAAGATATTAATAACTGGTTCAAAACTATCCTCATCAAAATTTAAGATCCGTCTTTACTCGAATCTCAGGATACATGTACTTTTGTACAATTTCTCCGAGCTATCTTTTATATTGGCAAGGGCAAGCGTTCCCGACCTTTACAACATCTCACTGAAGCAGTTAAAGCTAAGCAAGGTGGTGTTGGTGTTTCTCCAGTACAGGTTAGTTCAGCTATTGTTTCAGATATTGACTTCGAATAATCTACATCCATTGTTTTTTGATATTGATCAACTAATCGAAGTATATCCCGATGAGTTAGTTCATCATTAAGATGACGAATAAACTAAGAAGAATTTTGGATGTGTGGGCGAAAGGCTATGGGATAGTATCATTGCATGTCTTTCAAAATACGATCCCCGTCGAAGCATTCACTCGGGAAGCAGCGATGATCGATGCTATTGGTTAGGCATTATTTTATTCTTTGGTTCATGATTTACATTGTTCCATTCATTTCTGATGACAAAATGGGAATGTTCTTTCAGTAATTTGCCCGTTGCATAGCGTTCAGTTTCTAGCGTTTCATTTTTTTTTTTTTTGAAAGAAAGCTGATCCTTATTTACTTAGGTTGCTCTGGTAACTCATTAGCATGATTTATAGGAATCAGCAATTTAACAAACGTGAAGAAGGGTGACTATTATGGGATAAGCAAAGACTGGACGTCAAAAGAGAAAGCATTGTATGGAAGTTATTTGCTTCAGAAGGCGTTGGAAGTATTCCGCGTAGAAGGATGTCGTCAATTGTTTGAAAATGATGTGCATAATAATTAGAGAAAAGCATCACTGAAGTGAATGTTTAGATTTACTTTTCAAGTTGATGATTTGTTTCGTGACGCATACAAATGCTTATTATTCGCTCTTGTTTGTTGTTTTTGCGATAATTTGTTGTTCGAATGCTCTTCTTTGTTTTATTTAGGTTGTGTTTATTCAGTTTTATTTTGATATTTTTTGTGTATATTCGTACGATATTTGTCGTAATTATTGTTTTTTTTTTCGGGTACTCAATTATTAGAAGTATTTTATTCTGTGTTTTCTTACGATATTTGTATCATTGCTTTTGATTGTCTTTCACGATGCTTTGTTTTATCAGATCGTCTTTTTGGATTCGTTGTTTCACTTCAATTTTGAGCTTCAGTATTTTCGTTTTTTTTGAATCATTCATATTTTTCATTTTTATAGTTCTCGGTATCAAAAAAATTATGCAAAATAGCATCTAAAAGCTTATTATGACATATTTCGATCATTTTCGTTCTTTTTTTTAAATTCATGCTTATAAATACATTAATTCGGCTGGTTCCTTCGACGAACGATCGCATCTCTTTCCAAAGAAGTTTCCTTTCGCTCACTCATTTGATGATCAATTGACAGTTTTAACGATTGTTTGTCACTTTCAAAGACGTACCTTTTTTATGAAGAAGTTTGTGAATTATTTTATGGTATATGAAAGAGCTTATAGAAAACAACAATATGGCGTGTCAATTGAGCTGTATTCGATGTATATAAAACTCTCGTCTGATTATGAGGCATGCCATCGTTTATTTTGTTAGGTATATTGAGGCTTGTTTACAATTTAAATGAAATTCTCATCATGTTTAATGTTTATTTTGATCGTTGCATTCGTCGTCCCATCTTTTGAAACCTTCCATATCGTATATGATTAGTAATTTTCACACATCTTAGTATAACCAATTAATTTTGTATCGTTTTTTAAAAGATTTTTTATACGACGTTTGAACTGTATTCAGTTCAGTTCAGTTATTCATTTACATGAATATGATCAAGTTTCATCTATGGGATAAGAAAAACGATTCATTTTGTTTTGAAGAAATTAAGGAACAGATGGTCACTTCAGTCGTGCATAATGTATATTTCGTTGATATATTAAAAGTGTTCACTATAATAAATTTCTCTATCGAGCCTCGTGTGGTTCTTTCATTTACTTTCGTGGTTAAAAACCTCGCTTTGTTTGGTTTATTGAATGAGTTATTGTGGTGTCAGATGAAACTATATGCGGTGGCAGTTGAAAGCGTTCAGTCTGGTTCATTTTGAGTTTGATTTTTTGATTGGAATCTGCTTTGTTTTCAGTAATATGAGTTCCTTTTGCTGCAATCGTTCGATTTGTCATTCGGCTAATGTTTCTCAAATTTTTTTCCACATGTTGAAGAATCCAAATTTTGGAGTTACTGAGATCTCATTGTTGGTGAGATTTTGTCTTATCTTGCATTGTCGTGCAATGAAAACTGGTTATCAGTTGAAACATATGAAACAAATTCAAACCGAAACTTTATCAGTATAGGCTCGGCTAGGTCAGTACTTGACGTTGACTGATTAAGACGTTTTCGTTCGGTGACCACATTGACGGAATTTCACATTGATTAGATATGCTTGTGAATGTTGTATAATTTGAAGATTATATTATAACGTATGAAGCGTAGAATTTTTTTTTGTAACCGTAAAACGGTTAAATTGTATAATGTACAAGATAAGATTTTGTTCATTCTTCAACATTGCATCAAGTGGTTTTTGCTCGATAATGAGTTGCGTTGTATTATGCAGGGTTTTTTTCAACCAGGGATGCGAGGTAAGGTCTTATTTTTTGTGTGTTAATTAGGCGACGACGGATTCCAACGCATACATGTGTGTAAAGTAGGCGATGGTGGACTTTAACGTGTATATTTTTGAAAAGTCTTGAACGTACTGTAATGGTATACACTTATCTACACTGCAGACACTCGATGTCGTTGAAGAGAGATGCAGTGTGGATGTTGTAAGGGGTGCGAGGACATTTTGAAACTTTCTATGGTATCCGGGGGTGGGGGAAGGTTGAAGACCACTGCATTGATGCATTCTATCGACCATATAACGTTGTAAATGCGCATTTTCATGCGTAATCTGTGTCGTGCTTTCAGGATGAGCAATAATATAGAGCTGGATGTCAGCAGATGTCTTTGTGTACATTCCAGCTTTCAAGCAATTGATATCGCTATTCAGTCAATCCTCTACAAACGTGGTTTTGTACCTACGCTTATTTCTCAAATCTCAACTTGTGCCGATTCAAGAAAGGAGCAAGCGTTCGCCATTCAGTATAACAAGGTTTGTGTTTACGGTGTACAAAATTAACGCAATTAACTGTCGTGCGCACATTTGCCGTTATTTTCTTGTTTGTTTGTTTTTTTTTNTTTTTTTTTCGAATTTCAGATGAGAGACTCACTTCGGGAATTGTTTCGAACTCGTAATCGACATCATTTGCGTTCAGTAGCGTTGCTGTTAGGTGGATGTTGTGTTCTACCAAAAGAGATATACATCTTTCCGATACATGACTGTCATTCCGCAGATTCTGAAGGTGACGTCGAATGCTCTTCGAATTGCGTTGAGCTCTCAAAGAAGTGGGTGAATTGATTCACTTTTTAATCGATTTCGAATGTCAATCTCAGCGTGTAAAATTATGTTGGAAGTTGTTTAATTTTCATTCGTTATCATTCATTTAGAGAAATGCGACAGTTGTGTTTATCTTTAACGATCGATTTGGATCTAAGCCATTTACCGAATTTACTGCCATCAGCTTCCGCTTACGTATTGGTCGAAGCTGATACATCAGTTGATTATCCGAGTGAATTCTTCACACCATAGTTTGTTTTGTTCGATTGATATTCCGTTTTCATTCGTATTTTTGATTTTGCATTCTGGCAAAATTCGATTAATTCTTTCATTTGCGATTGATACGATACATTGATATGATGCTAAGCCCAATTTAATGAAATTGATCTCGAGATTTTCAACTGTGTTTGTAGTTGTTTTGGCTATTTGTATGCCATGAATCTCGATTTTGTTTTTTAAGCTTCGTTTGCTATTTTAAAACATGTGGTTTGTTTAACAACTTTTTAGAAATAGTTTCAGCAAAATCATTCATCCTTGATTTTTTAAATGCTGTTTGCAAGGAAGTATGATTGTCTTGATTGCCGAACGTTCGTTATCAACGTTGATTTCCAATGCATTCTAGTGAGCCGTTCGTTTCAGTGAGCAATTCGAATTACCTTCCGATGAAAAAGCCAACAAACACAGGATTTCAATGTCGTTTATATCCTTTAAACATCATTGCATGTCGGAATGTACGTCAAATAGTGGTCAGTCAATATGGCTCCGAGTCGATCCTCAGCTGCATCGTTTAATTGCTTGACTCATTTTGCTTGAAAACGATTCATTTGTTCTGTTGTTCGATCATTTAAAGTGGTTCTGATTGATGTGAATTGATAGTTCACGTCGATCAGATATCTCAGAAATTTCTTCATATCGGATCGGCATCATGAAATGAAACGATCTCTTAAAAATCTCAGATTTCATACTTGTTTTAATTGTCTTTCCAAAGTTTGTGGTGATTTAACGATGATTATTCTTACTGCATATTTCTATATGGTGGCAAACGAGCCATATATGGTGAACATTTTTCGTTTCGAATTTGTAACCATGAAAAGTTTCCAAATCTTATTCACTTTCAATATTCTTGTGGGAGTGCGAAGAGCTTCAATCATCATCAGCCGTTGTTGAATCATTATTTTGCTAGTTCATTATTACAGTTGTTGTTGCTAACGTAGGCAATGATGGATCGTAGTTGTGACTTTGATTGATTATGAAATAGAAAATGAATTTTTATTGTGCTTGAATGGTTGTGTTGATTGCGGTTTGTGTTCGTGTTCAGTTGTTTGCTTTGTTTATTGGTTGATGCAAATTTTTGTTGTTTTTATTATACATAATGTTGTGGCTTGTTCATTCACTGAAAGTGCTTGACTCGGGAATGGATGTCTTTCATTACAAGCTCTTATTCGCATCGTTTTTGTTTACTTTATCTATCTTTTGGCCCAATCAGCTTTGTTACGATGATCTGTTATTCATCTCCATTATTCTCATGTTCATCACGTATTTTGTCGCTTGTATCCATGATAAAAACGTTTATTAATTATACAGACTCGTCGGCCGCAACCGTTACATTTAAATTTTAAGCGAAACAGTGATAAGACGGAATAAGTTTGCTTTCTGAGTACATCAATAGAGTGCTAGTTTTCATTATTGCCATGGAATGACTCAAAACATTAACAATAAGTAACAAAATTATTTGTTGACTTGACTTTTAGAAACGATTCCGGAAAGTTTTCTGCGCTGAATTCGAATATGCAACCTTCTTCACCGTAATATACTTCGTTTTCGATTTATTTTAGCAGATAAGTTTACAGTGTCGGAATTTTGCTTGCTGGGCAATTGGCCGCCAATACGGGTGTGCAAAAACTCTTCATTAAGGTATACGCGGTTTTTATCATCAAAATTTGTATGTAATTGTATTGCGAAAAGACGAAAGAAGAAGCTGCAAATATTTCAGGAACGAACGCCAATACAGAGGAACGGATTGTAGGTATATTTCAAATCAGTGCGGAAAGTTGATTTAGTTCGATAAGGAATCAATTAAGCAAAAAAAAAAGATCTCGAAAATACTCTTTAACGGTAACAGTATTATGATAAGCGTGTCTGATATCACAGCTGAACGGTGATACGATGAAAACGTGCACATTTGGAGTCAACGCAAAAAGTTGATAAGGAATCGATTTTAAAAAATCAATTCAAGCAAAAAATAATACCGAAACTGTGCTAGTAGGTGTTATCACTACAATGGTGCACGTATCTGATGTCATAATTTGGCATTTGCAAAAGTTACAGAAAGCTAGATTGCACAGTTGGAATTAGCTTTAACGTTACATTGTGAGATCATGAAGGATCATTCTCAGTTCAAAACATGGAAATGCGTAGGTGTGTTCGGATTGAGTTTATCACATGATAAGATTATTCAGTTTCAAAGTTTGTGACAAAATATGTCAGTACTCCGTTTAATCGCGACATTTATAGCAATCAATCATTAGAAACTCATAGATTGCTTCGAAGCGTTCATCGATAAAAACTAAACCAAAAACGTAAACATAACGAGATGAGTAATAAGTTCTGATATGATAGCAGCATTTAATTAAAATCACTGCGATGTGTTTTCATGTGGCGATGCAGATTGCCCGACTGCGTGAAACGCATCATGCACAGGTGGCAATTGTACGGCTTTTGACCTGAATGAGTCAGTCGATAGCATATCATCAACATTTATGACTACGGTTCATTCTTTGCAGTATTGTTGATCAATAATCAAACACCTACCTGTGTGTGTTCGAAGATGTTTAGTGAGTGTTGAACTGTCAGTGAATGCTTTATCGCAATGAGCGCATGGATATGGTCTTTCACCGGTGTGCGTCCTGTAAAAAAATATATAAATTTTCGCGGTACATTCCATTCATTCCGGCTTTTCGCGGTACAGTAACTTCGACCTCATCACACTCGAGAACCAATCCATCCATCCGCTGAACTGTTTGCATTCATGAAACATTCCAAGTTTTTCGTTTTAGAGTTATTGCCTTGAGTCTCTTTTTTTTCTTAAATTTTTGCTTAGCCAGCATTTTGCTTAAATTGCGAAAATTTTTAGTCGTGTTTTCGGATTCTTGAAACTGGCAATGATCGCTCGAATTGTATCACTGCTATGCGACCACATCGCATTATTACTATAAATTCGCTTTCGTTACTCTCGTTACACGTTACTTGCAAATAGCGTTTTCAAGTGTGACATTTCAGTAAGTGAAATGAAATAAGTGCACGCATAATGCGTGTACGGTATTCATCCTGTCCAAATCAGTTTGCAACTTACTGAATATCTATGACTGCATATCATGAGGGAGTGTAATGATAGCAATAATTATGTTGATAGCAATAATAATGAGCTGTTATCGTTGCAGCTTATCGCGAATGAAACAAACTCATGTGAGAATAGAATGCATTTGGCTTGAACTAATGTGCTGCAGAGATCGGGGAATTCGGGTCCCTAACTTTTTTCGAGCCGACCGCATTTCCGGTGTCCCCGACTGCAGAATTTCGTCCCTGACTTTTTTTCTGTGCGCGCAACACACTATTTTGAACATAGCGTGACCAATTTAACAATGTCATGATGGAATGAATGCAACTGGCTGTCTACTAATGTGAATAAAATCGAGCAAAAATTAAATGAACGAAATCAATTCAAAAAACTGTCAATTTATTCATCACCAACCGTTTATGTGTAACCAATGAGGAACTCTGCGAAAATGGACGTAAGCAGATTGGACAAGAGAATGGCTTTTCACCTAAACAATTGTTTAATGACATGGATCAACATCTACCGCTGCAGTGTAATGATGATTTTTTAAGGGCTTACCAAATGATTATTGCACTAATAATACTAATACTTTTCACCGATCCAGAGACTAAATAAACTGTTCAATGCTCATAAGTTTCGAAAATATTTTTGAATGAAATTTCTTAAACGACTTCTCAAATTGTCATTAATTTCCAAGCGTTCATTTGATCAAGCGTTTATCCTATTGATTAATTTTTTAAGATAACTATACAACTATATTCTACCACAGTTTTGTTTTCCTCCTTCCATAATCAACATTATATGTGTGCTATTTTTATCAGTTTGAAACTCCGGGTTTAACGGAATAAAATCATAGAAATCGACATATGGATTTCATGAAGATGTTCCATGTATAAGATTATTTTCAATTCCATCAAATAATCACATAAAAAAGCAGATGCAGAAGATAATGTGAATAGACTAAAGGGATTATACATTTGGCTGCCCATTTGACTATATTTTCAGTTAGCTGAAACAGCTGTTTCTTGTTGAACATCAATCCATTTGTCACCAAAATATTGACTCACCTGTATGCACTCGCTTGTGTGCTGTCAGATTGGCTGCTTGCGAAAAACTTTTACCGCATACCTGTCTTTCAAAGTAACAATTATTCGATTCAAAAGCAATTTGTTTATGATAAACGAATGAACATTGTTGCGTTAAGAAAGTGAACCAAATTTGTGAAAATACCTGGCATGAGAAGGGCTTATGACCAAGATGCTGCTTCATGTGCGCTTTCAGAGTGCTTTTGCGACAGTACTGTTTATGGCAGCTTGGACATGTATGTTGCATTCGTGACTGTTCGACATTCACGTCGAAAATATTCGGTGATACCACATTCATTTGATGCACCACTGTTGAATCCACCTTGAATGACGAATCTCGCCACTGTGGTAATTCCATCGCAATCGGTTGCGTTGAGCCACATAGTCCATCTGTTGCTGGCCAATTATAAAAATCTGCTTGTGGTATGAAATTAGCCACATAAGTATTTCTTGGAGGTTGAAAATAATATTCGTCGTACAGATACTCATTATCGTACTGAGGATAAGACATCGCTCAGCGAATGATTCAGATGCTATGAATAAGGCTAATATAAACGAAATATCAATATCGTCTTATACGGTAGCACATTCGATTGTTATTATATTCGATTTGCTACTTACGCACTCACTAATTAACGTATGTGTGCGATCGGGCTTCCTAATCCGTTTCTCATTCATACTACACTTTATCCATCATATCATTTGAGAATCATATTATATTCTATATCCATTTTTATATTCTCTACCATAATATCTCAACAATTATAAGTCAGAGATATGTGCGAAGTGGAACACTTAAAAAGTCAGCATGAATTTATTTACACTACTGCATGCATGTTAATTTGAATTGCAATGGTTGTCAACGAATACATTCCAAAAGTGTTGCTTATCAAAAGATTATGAAGATGTTGTTTGCAACAACTGTTCAACCCTAATTGATGATCACACAATTACTGAATCGTGGCTTCTACTTCAACAATTATCTAATGACGTCTAAAGAAGATATCTGAACTCAGCAAGAATTGATAGTCAGAACTCTGCATTTTTGATTGATAAGAAAATTTTTTGGTTACATTACTATAATATTTCATTCGTCAACTGATTGAACTTTTCTCTCATAGTCAGTGAACGTCAAAACTGAACATTCAAAACCTAATGAAAGTGGAAAATCTGAGTTTGTATTTCTGTGAATTCGTTCAAGTCGGGCAGATTTGCTGTCAAGCAATCCAGTGCATCATGAGATCGGTTTTCATTATCATCTTATTCTGTCTGATTTCATAGCTTGCATATGCATTCAGACATTTCACATAACGTTTAGCTCAAGGAATAAGCTTTTGCGAATTAACACAAGATAAAAATTAACACTATGTAAGCTGGGAACAATTTTAATCAAGTACTGCTATCCAGTTCATGGCAAAATTGTTATTGTTATCATGATTGCTATTGATATCATCAGTATTGTATCATTACGACTAATACTAACTATGCTGTTGTAAAATAAAGCATTACATATAACAGAAGTGAAAGGATACTGTAACAGCAATACGTGAATAAAGAGGATAAACAGATACTGAGAGAGACGAGACGTCCGAGTGCAGCGTTCAGTACACATAAACGAATGGTGAAATAGACTATTGAATATGGTTGGTTACAGTATGAAGTAATAGGTATCATATAGTAGCATTGTAATACCGAGTATTCTCGCTTCATTGCTCAATTGAACAATATGTTGAGAATGAATGAATGTGTTGAATGGTTTGAGATATCTATCAAGCAATAGACCTATCATTATAAGATAATCATTTACGACTGCGTACTTAACCCTCGCACGACTAAAATTTTTCTATAGCATCGAAGAAGCGGTCCTCTTAGGCTTCTTTCACTATGTGCTTGTAATAGGAGATTTTTAACTGAAATTTTAACGCATGCTGATGCTGACAAATATTATCATACAGCTAATAATATTATCATTCCGTCATCAAGCTTCGGGTGGGCATGTACCGCAAAGTAGCAACACGATGGACCAGCTAATAGTAAGTTTCGCAGTCAAGTACTCGTAAAATCTGCGTATGTTTTTGATTATTACTGTGTGCTTTGTGTTTCGTGTTCGTTGCGTAGTTATATCTACTAAAATGTTCTCATGTGACTCAGAACGGTATATATTATTATTGACAAAAATATATCACCAGCATAGTTAGAAATAATACAATGATGTTCGACGTTTCGGCTTTATGCCATGTTTAGGAACATCATTTGAATCTGAAACAATTATGAAGGAGCATATAACAAAACTGGATATGTTTACAAGGTATCATGTAAATGCGGTGGATTTTACATCGGAGATGCTGGCAGACCGCTGCACGTACGTATCACTGAGCACATGAGAGCACTCAAAAACCCGCACGCCAAATCATATGCCGATGGCCAAGCACAAAATAGCACATCAGATAAACTCCATCCCTACCTTAATAGTAGAAATTCTCGCACATTCCAATTGCACCACAAAAAGGCGTATAATGGAGGCAACTTTCATCCAATCTTAAAGTCCCTCCACCAACTCCAAATAAGAGACGATGGAGACCCTCAAATTCATCTCATAAATCATTTCCTTACCTATTTATTTATTTGTATTTACTTATTATTATTCATTTATTCATTCACGTATATATTTATATGTTCACTTATTACCGCCACATTGTACACCTTGTCAAATTTCATTTATGTCCCGGTCTCCATCTTAACCTTTTAAATTTGTTTATGTCTCATTATTTCCATCAATATTATTATCACTTCCCCGAAACGCCAACGCAGGTGGTATATTTTTGTCAATGATAATATATACCGTTCTGAGTCATCTATTACCACCATGCGCATCATAAAAGAGGAAAATTTCCAACAATTGTTCTCATGTGATGAAATTAGTGAATGTTTATTCCAAGACAGAGATGAAGATAATACTGATGAGAGTAATGACTACATTATCTCAGATGATAATAATAACTGAATGAAATTCTACCTGATCTGGGAGAATATACTGATTATGAGTTAGTTAAAAATATAGCTCAAGATTCACCAGATGGAAATACTACTAATTTGTGCAACTGAAAATCAAAAATGATGCAGAAACGCGGTTCATGTAAACCGTGAATTTATTATGTAATGGGAGAGGAACACTTAATGTGATCAAAGAGGAAAATGACTGAACAAGTTTTGTAGCTCGCAATGTTGACGCCATTGGATCGGCCTTTTCATTTTTGTCGCAGTCTTATATTCTTAAATAAGTTTCACAGTGAACAAATAAAAAAAGATTATGAGACCGGGCATCAATGAATGCTGCTGAAAGCAAGAAGTTAATTGGAAATCACATTCTCTCTGATACTTATGAGTCGAACGGACAGTCGCTCTCGCATCTGTGGAGTGCAAGTCACCCCATTTTCAACAAAATGTTCTCAGTTATTACCTTCATGTATTGATTCGTTTCCACGTGAACTGATTGCATTCTAAACTCTATCATTACGAAGTAAATAAATATAATTGCTTAAGGGCTCATCCTTTATGACCTCATATGCCTACAGTGTCTCACATGCCCGCGCAGCAATGAATGTTTTTACTGTTAAAAGAATGAGCACGGCACCACGGTACGTCATAAATGCATACCATAATTGTCATAACTCATAATGAATATTCAAATCGTATTTCATATTGCTTCTTTTTTTATCCATCTCATTGTCTAATCGTAAGCATAAATGAGTTGAAAAAACAAAGTCGTTTTTCATAATCTACACTACAACAGTAACTTGAAACATGGAATTTTCATGAGGAACTGTGCCATTTGCTACTTCACCAGTCTTCATTTTGAGTTTCACGGTCATTGTCTTGTTTCGAATTCGTTTTGCAGTTCCATGTGAATGATGATAAAAAATTATATTTTACAATTCGTGCTACAATATTCACCTAACTTGCACATCTCGATGCTGTTCATTCATCTGATGTGTCTTTGAAATGGTTGAAACAAGTTAGAATTCCTAAAAAGTAACAATTACTATCGTGGAGTAACCTTGAAAATGTCTTAATAATGACACTTGTAGCTGGGTCTGAGAGACCCCGTTCATCTTCGATATTATAAAATGTTTTAAGCCACGCGCCTAATCCGAATAAAGAACTTTTTTTTTGCTTTGTTCTAATTGAGAGTACGGAAATGAATATAGTCACAAAACCTCTGGTCTGCAGCTATAATATTCATGAAGTTATGAAAGCTTGATAGTCGGCGACGGCTCTCTCAGTCTCGTTCATCATGCGAGGGTTCAGTTCATTCCTCTTACTGATTTTCGTATCATTAAAATGCTCAGAAATAGTATTTAACTGAGGTACAACTTTGTGTTGGCTCTGCAATAATCTTGTTATTGACAGCAGGTGAAATACGAACTTCAAAGCGAACCATGCATTTTGAAAACAATGTCCTTCTCATTCGATAACCGATCGGATGCTCTGATGTCAAAACTGAATAAGTTATTTGGTATACATAAATGAATAATGCGTTCACAAAAAAAAAACAGATCAAAGCAAATTTCACATCGCAAATAACGCACGAGATGAAACATCATGATCAATTAACTGCACACTCTTCCAGTGAACTGAATGTTCATCGGAACGGAACAGACATTTAAGATCCCTGATTCATTTGAACAGAATCGAACTTATCACATATTGTTACCCTCCATCAGCGAACAATGCTTACAATAAATGTGCATGTAAAACGGCGCGATATTTAACCAAATCATCAGCTCAATATGTTCCGGCAAATGAATGTGAGTAAACAATAACAAACGAAATGAAATGATGAATATTGCTCATAGAAATGAAGCAGTCGACATTCCACGACCTTAACAACTGCATTTGATGAGAGATGAACCCAAAATGAGGGTCTGGCGATTGGAGAACCGATAAAAGGAAATCGCAAAAGTGTCAAATCACTGTCGATCTTGGGCTATCAACGGTCTTCGTTCAGCACAACGAGAAGCCACCAGCAACATTACACAAGAGCTTAGAAGCCAATGTAGAATTGATTGATTCTTTTATCAGTTTAATTCACTTTGATTCACTCGTATAAGAGCTATATATGAATTCAATTTGCTGCCTTAGCTCTATGAAAAAATTCTGGTGGAATTACAGCACTATTCTTGCAAGTATGCAAAGCGAAGTGTTTCTCACATATTGATACACAACCATCTTAATGACCATACGCTTCATAGGTAAAACCGTTTTTGATAAAGATACAATAATTATACGTTCAATGTACTTGTTCCATTTCAAATTTATCTCCCTTTCGAGGAATCCCTCTTCATTCGGTGAATTTTGCATTCATCAGTACACATGAAATTCATGGCTTACATCTTTTGTGATGTTTATCTGGGCTCATTGGCGTTCCAAATATTAAATATTCATTCACTGTCAGTGAAATATCGAAATTGCCAATTGCATATCAAATTTCCATCCTGCTCAAAAACATAT